GTTCCCTCCGTTGCCGTTGGATCCATATCCGTTTCCGTTGAGGAGGCCGTTGGTGGCGGCAGCATAAGCATAACCGGCGTCGGGAACGACTCCGATGAGCTCGTTGACGGAGTAGAAGCTCTCAGCTTGAGAACAGTCCACGTTGAACCACCAGTCACATACCAGGTACTGCTGGTTGAAGATGGTACCGTTGGGGCACAGGAAGGAGTCCTGTTGGCGCCTGAGGGCGCGGTCCTGGCAGATATGGAACACCTGGCAGCCAGCTGCAGTGTCGGCGTAATAACCTTGCACCGCCTACGGCATCGCAGGAGAAGCCGGTGTCGGGCACGGAAGCCAAGATGGGGTAGTCCTTCGCCGGGGACGCCGCCCCCTGGAATGTTCTCACTCAGAGCGGCGATCTCAGGGTCTACTCCGTATCCGCCATTTGGCAGTCCATAGGAGTTGCTTGGTGCTGAGTAACCATTGCTTGGGGCACCGAAACCGTTTGAGGCTCCGTTCGCAGCTCCAAAGCCAAAACCGTTGAGAACCCTCCGTTCGGGGCTCCATAGGTATTGGATGGCGGTATATCTGCGGGAGATTACGCTCACCAGACCTAAAAAGAAAAAAAAGAAGAAAGGCGAGGTTATGAATCTTAAATTCTGTCATCGTTCTTGAAGACCGCATGTATGCAAGTGTGTCTTTTAAACGCACTTACCACAAAGCAGTATTATTCTCATACTGATCTCGTTGAAGAGCACAACGCAAAATGGAAAAATGGAAAATGTGTCTGAAGGCGAGGAAAGGAGTGAGATGAAGTGAGCTTCTTTTGACTCGACTTTTATAGCCAGCGTCTGACTTAGCTCCGCCTTCTTTTCCACTCTCACTTTATTTCAGCAATTTCTTGGTTGTTTATTGAAATACAGCAACACATGTTGATCTCACGCTTTTATCGTGAAAAAAAAAGAAAAGAAAAGAAAAGAAAAATCCTTTGTTAGCTTAGTCATTCCTGTTATATTGCTGATATAAATACCTTGCATTATAGAAAAGTTTGCTCCAGTGTATGGCTGTGTATAGACGTCAGCGTATTTACTTTTTGTCTCTTTTTCTGCGTGGGGAGATAATCATATAGCTAAAATTACTGAGAGGCGAAGTCACATTTAAACATGGACACACAAGAGAAATTAATTGTTCTAGAACATGGCGACTGATAACTGCGTAAGGTATAATAGTAAATCATGTCAACGAATGAAATGAACTTACAAATTTACTGAAAGGAGAACCTATAATGATCATAAAAATGTGATGCCTGATCTTCTTTTACCTTTGCCGATGACGTTATATATTTCTACTGATATATAATATATATATATATATATATATATATATATATATATAATATGTGTGTGTGTGTGTGTTGTGTGTGTGTGTGTGTGTGTGTGTGTGTGTGTGTGTGTGTGTGTGTGTGTGTGTGTATACACACATATACATCCATATAAATATATGTATATATATTTTATATGTATACTTTATATATATAACATAATATACATACACACATTACACACACACACATACACACATATTCATTGATTATCTATCTATATATATATATATATATATATATATATATATATATATATATATATATATATATATATATATACACTGTATGTGTCAGTGTATCTGTGTGTTTGTGCATCCACTTTTACACAAATAAATGTATGTCTAGTGTTTCTAGAAGTAGTTTTATATGCCCATCTCGGCCGTCTAAAGCAGTATGCCTTTGTAGGCGGATCAAAGGAAAGACGAAATGAGGACTGCCCTCATTTCGAGGCACGCCTTGTATAGGCGGCAAACGTGCCTAGACGTTTCAAGATACGGTCATGAACTCATGGCTGAGACTTAGTCTAGATAGTCTTACCCATCATCAAAAAAGTTTCCATGGTCTGAAATGCTTAATTAATTTGCCCTTGAATATCTGCTACCTGTGAAGCATAGTCTACTCTTTATATCAAAGATTCCTCGAAGATTTAGTGGAAGACCGAGAAAATTGGCAATGGTTAATCTGTGACTGAACAACTTCCATTTGCACTAATGCGTAATCTCCCTTGTACTTTTGAAGGGGATCAAAGGGAAGATGAAATGAGGACTTGTATAGGAAGCAAACGCTTGCACTGTATGCCGTAATCCTTTCTTTAAAAATTCACTTCGTGACTGATATCTAATTTTGACGATCTTGCCTATCATAAAAAAGTTTACAGAGTCAGAAGCTCTTAAGTAATATGCCCTTAGAGATCCTTTACCCATGGTGTATAACTATACTCTTTATATCGACTATTCATCGAGGGTTTAGTGGAATTCCAAGAAGACCGGCGGTGATTGATCTGTGACTGACCAAGCAATGCAGTCAGCAGTGAAAGCCTCCGACTGTGGGCAGGTTAAGGATGCAAGTTGACCAAATATCAGGTTGGACTACGGAAGTAAGAATTCTGGTACTAATTTATATAATTTTGAAATATACTTCGGTGATTTCCTTTCAAAACTTTTATTGTATCTATCTATCTATCTATCTATCTATCTATCTATCTATATATATATATATATATATATTATATTATATATATATATATATTCTTTTTTTTTCCAAAAAAGCTTCCTGAAGCACATTTACTTAATCAGACTTGTAAAAACATAGTAGGAGCAATACCTTTAAATTCTGATTGAAGTTAAGTGCATTATCTACCATCCATGTCATTTTGATATTTTAGATTGAATGATATAAATTTTGCGTAATATCCGCTGTTTGAATTGAATAGCATACGGAAATAGAGGAGGTGCTGGTAAACTATTTATCTCCAGGTCATAACATGCTCTGTTTCTTCCTCTCTAAATTTCTTCCAGGATGTTAGGTTTTGTGGAAGTGGATGGTGCCCTGAAGCATCTTGTAATTTACTTTGAGGACAAGGTTATTTTATATTCCTTTTAGATATGTATTATGGTTTCAGAACTAAAAATGAAGCAAAAACAAACATAAACAAACAAAAAACAAGGGCAATGAGAATGGCCACCTATGGTAAGAGATCACGCAGGTAAATAGATCATAACGTAACTTAACGCCTGTGGAAGGATTAACAATTCTCTGTAGTTATGGTACTTTTCCTCCAACAGCTTTTTAGTATATGAAGCTCTTGACATTTTTCTTTACTTTTTACTGCATACAGGCATCGTTGTAATGCATATCCTATTGTATGTAGGAATTTATGAAATATCAAAAGTTGAGAGAATGATTTTTTTTCTCTTTTTTTTTTTTTATTTACTCTTCCATGCAACTAGGCATACGGACATTACAGAGCAGATATTGCATGCAGGAATCATATACTTTCGAAATCTTTATATCTTCAGGCACAAGGAAATGAGGTTTGTGGAAACAACAGAATAGTTATTTGATATTTATTCTTGCAAAAATATAGATTCTCTACCAAGCGCTGAAATATACATGCGTTTACTGAGGAGAGCCAGTTGAGGAGGCGAACGAGAGTCCGTTTAGAAAGGAGCGCCGTAGGAGGCAGAAGGGGCGGCAGGGACTCCGTTGCCGTTCCCATTGCCATTGAAGCCATTGCCGTTGTATCCGTTGCCATTGCCGTTGAAGGCGCTTCTCCCATTGCCGTTTCCGTTACCATTAAACCATTGCCATTGTATCCGTTTCCATTCCTTCCATTTCCATTTGTGCGGAAACCATTGCCATTGTATCCGTTTCCGTTGAAAGCGCTTCTTCCGTTGCCATTTCCATTACCATTAACACCATTTCCATTTGTGCGGAGACCATTACCGTTGTATCCGATGCCATTGCCGTTTCCGTTACCATTACCATTTACACTATTGCCGTTATAACCGTTTCCATTACCGTTGCCGTTCCTTCCATTGCCATTGTACCTGTTACCATTTCCATTTCCATTACCGTTGAGACCATTTCCATTGACACCGTTCGCCCGTGCCATTAGAACCATAGCCGTTCCTGCCGTTGCCATTTGGAGACTCCGTTGCCGTTGCCATTAGCAGCGTAGCCGTTCCTGCCGTTGCCACTGAAGCCATTGCACCGTTGCCGTTGCCGTTTGAGCGATATCCATTTCCATTGCGTGGG